TTCCCAAAATTTTGTACGCATTTCTCGTTTCCTAACGACTATTTTATATCACATTACGCATTCATTGCTGTTAGTTTATTATATATTATGTTAATTTTCTATTAATGTTGTGTTTTTCTACTAATATTTGTGTGCTTTTCTACTAAAGTTTATGTGGTGTGTTTTCTTTGAAAGTGTTTATGTGTGTTATTTGTCTGTTGTCTTATTGTAGTACCACTGCCACCGGTTGAAAACCCATTTGCAGTTAAATAATAATAATAATAATAATAATAATAATAATAATAACCCCCACCTCTCATTGTTTATTGTTTTATAGCATATAAAATGAATGGATGAAATGAGACCACCACTGCTATTTGTTACAGTGGCAAATACAAGGGAAAATTTACAAAGAAGACCCGACCATACGATGGAAAAGTCACTGCTACTCTGAGAATTGTGGATATGTATCTCAAGATTAAACCAAAACGGTTAACTTAAAGCTACCTTATGCAGATTTCGACATTGCAAGGATAAGGCATAGAAGGAAGATGTCGCCTCGTAACACCAAGTTATGGTCATTTTATCAAATATTTGATATAAAATTATCTCGACTGTGAATATAACTTAGGCATTAACCTACTGCTCTAGCTCTGTAATTAGTTCAACTCCGAGTTTGAATATGTCAACTTATAATAATATCCCCGCTTTGTATTAAACTCAAATCGAACTGAAGCTACTTTTATCGAAAATGACCAATGGTACATTAATTCAGTACCTGTCACAAAATAAAGACATACCGAATTTGTTCGAAACTTTTTTCTCTGCAGTGAAACACAGGAGAAAGTAAGTTTAGACTATATATACTGATGTGTATCTTGACTGGCATTCATCAACGGGATTTCTATCCGATATAAATTGTATTTGAAATAAATTAACACATAGGACAGTAAGGCATGCAAGATAGGAAAATTCTCATTTGTAACATATGGGATTATGTATTCCAAACCGAACTACTTCTTTTCACTCCTGTTTTATATGTGCTTAAACAATTCAATTGTTGGAGCTCCATGGCCTCTAATGACCATGTACTCGCCTCTCATCTGCACAACGTCTCTAATCATTTGATTAGAGGCGTATGTAGTTTATAGTCTACGAGCATATAATATGGTATTCAATTTAAAAAGAATAAAAAAAGTGTTATTCAATGCGGTATAGCTGTGACTGGGTGAGGAGACAAGTTATTCCTGCCTCTGTGGAACTTAAGTACGTGTAGTACAGGTAACAGCAGACAGAGGCCACTACTGTGTAATTTAAGGTTTCCGCTTTATTTATTACAATTATCGACCGTTTTACTTCAAAGCACGTTTTCAGCTAACTCAGGAATGCAGTGATAGTAGCTTTTCTGATAGATAATGGAAATAGACCACTGTATTATGTAAACACGGCAGATATATAGCTGTGCCAACATTCGTAGGAAATATATTGTATCAGACTGCGAATTTATTGGAAAATCAAGAGGTAATACAGAATGTGTAATAATCGACTTCACTATCAGAAAGAGTACATTGTGGTTATGCTTTGAATTCAGACTACTATCTAATAGGTGAACATGAATTATTTGCCAGTATTGAAGTTCGCCTCAAATATTATGTTGTATATTGTGTCCTTTCTTTTCGCTGGCTCTACACCCCCCTTGGGCCTTGGCCCCTGATTTTTCATTTTCATGATCATTTAACAGACGGTAGGACCCCTTGGACGAGTGATCAGCTCGTCGCAAGGCCTCTACCTGAACCTAGGGCAACATAACACAGAACAAACACATACCATACCAAACATCCATACCTTGTGTGGGATTCGAACCCACGATTCCGGCATGCGAGTCAGGAAAGACAGTTCATGTCTTATACCTCTGGACTACCGTGACCGGTTTTGTACCTTAATATATAACAGTTACATTCCAGGCTAGTCCCTGTTATAACAATGATCTGCAACGGTTACCATGCTTCTAGTTATAGTGAAGTGAATTAAGAACGATCTTAGACAAGTCATATCCGTCGCCCTATTTTATTTGGACTTTTAGTTTTTCTTATAAACTCCAGTATTATAAACCAGATAATTAAAATGATTGCGTGGGCGGTGTATTTAATAACTGCTGCAGTAGAGTTTCTACCTCAGAACCCTGCTCCCCAGTACACCGTGTGCTAGATCTGTCTACTCACACACAGATGGCGTATTCTAACTAAAATAAATACGATCCTTATGAAGTGCCAGTAAGAGCAATATGTTTTACTGCTGCAATGGCCGCTTTACAGCATCGACTTATTCTTTTGAAACCTGTACAGGCTCATATTCATGAAAGAATCATGCATTTAATCTTGTATTGAAATCACATCCCTTTCAAATTCGTTACACTTTCAGGCCTTACTATTTATATCTTGCATACTTTTAGTCTGTGTGCCCCGAAAACCTGAAGGGGCAAAGGCGTCTGAAAGAACCAAGCACAACTGGAAGAGGCCATTGAAACTATACTGAATGTTGTCTGTCGTCTTATGTACACTACATTACACTGTAAGATGTTTTGGAAACTGGATCTCTCTTCATCGGGCGTAAATGGGAAAAGAGTGCTACTTAGATGGTCCCGTTAGACAAAACATTGATCGCTGTCCAGGTAATATGAAACGTATAATTTACATATAGTCTGCTTAAGATGATGAGCCATGCCCAACATAATAATTTCATAAAGAAAAGCAGGCTATTTTCACAAACGTTCAGAAGATCATTAAGATAATAGTATTAATATGAATCTGAAAGAAATTGTTCATGAGGATGTGGACTGGATTCAACTGGCTAAGGATAGTGTAAGTGACTTGCTCGTGAGAACTTGGTCATGAGATTTCGGTACCCTTAAAAACTGGGAAGTTCTTGCCATCTGAACAAATGTCATCTTCTCAAGACACACTATCTTCAGTAAAGTTAGTTGCAACACAACACTGGAATCAATTACCTCCCACTAGGAGACATGAATTTCTAAAGGTAAGAGGGAAGTATTGTACAATTATCTGACAGAGATTGGGATACCCATGAAACTAGTTAGTTTAATTAAAATGTGTTTAAACGAAACGTATAGTAAAGTTCCTGTAGGTAAATATTTATCTGATAAATTTCCTATGCAGAATGGTCTAAACAAGTAGATGCTTTATTGCCACTCCTTTTCAACTTTGCTTTAGAATATGCCATTAGGAAGGTCCAGGAAAACCAGGTGGGACTGAAATTAAACGGGACACATCAGCTGTTGGTCTATGCTGATGATGTGAATCTACTGGGTGATAATGTAGATACCATAAAGAAAATCACACGGACTTTACTTGACGTCTTGCTACTATTCGGCTTACAGGCAACCAATACCGAGAATTCCTCTCACATGTCTGCCAAAGCTACTGGAAGACGTACCACTGGCAGTCAGAACACGGCTGTGGTACATGCATCATGGCGCTCCGGCACAGTTTAGCTGTGCTGTGCGAGATGTTCTCAGCAACACCTGTCATGACTGGTGGATTGGTAGAGGAGCCACTGTATAACCTCCCCGCTACAAGCCAGATTTGCATCATCTGGATTTTTACTTCTGGGGACACCTAAATACCCTTGTGTATGCAGCTCCTGTTGACAGCGGAGAGGCACAACGCAATGTGGATGCCTGTCAGACTGTCTGCAACTGCCCCTGCATCTTTGAACGGCGGTCCATCATGACACGTGTCAAAGCTTGCATTGAATCTCATGGAGGACATTTTGAGCACTCATTATAAATGTACTCTTTCAACTATTACTCCAAAATTTATGAACACATGATGATATAGACTTTTTTCTTGTTTTGGTATGTGGAAATCGTGACCAGAATTTGTCCGCACCTCTCAGTTTTGCCAAGTATAAAAAAGAAAAGTAAAGCTATCCTTGTAACAGGCCATGAAGACCCATAGGGTTGTGAGACGTTGAGGATCACACATTGTCTAGACAATCGGCTCAAAGATGGCGGTAAGGTTGTCAGCCGTACACGCCAGCCACGCTTTACTCTCCAGGAAAATTATTTATTTAATTCCTGGTACTCATTTCTGTTAGAGGCTGAGTGAACCTCAGGGCCTAGTGCGGCCGGAAGGATTAGGCCAATTAAAAAGAATCAAATGACCTCATCGGTATTTGAACCCGCGACCTTCCGACTTGTAGCATAGTGCCTTAACCACTACGCTACAGTATATGTAATTAACTAATTAATGTAATAAAAAGGTAGCAAATTTTCTGTAAGGTAGGAACTGAATTTTTTAATATTGTGACATGTTGAGCTATGGATGACGCCCCTCCCCCACCCCCGCCAGCCGTGATGCGCCGAGCAAAGCCGAAGCGAGCCGATGTTAGCCGAGTCCTAGCATCCTGGTCGCTAGGCAACGCGAGTCAATAGCGATGACGTCACCAAGGGTACCGCGTGAGGCTAGGCAGCGCGGGTTACCAGGATTGCGAGAGACGACGATAGTAACAGCGGTTACTACCGCTAGCGTTGCTAGCAACACAGCGCCAGGCAACAAGGGTGCTTATTACGTGGCCGTTTTCTGTATTGTCCGATCGAGGCTACATGAGGAGCAGCGAAGGCTATTCACAGTCAGTCCTCGAGCTACCTCCGAGTTAGTTCCGAGTTAGCCAGCAACCAGTCAGTTGTATTGTGGCATTTTGAGTGTAGTATTTGTGATACTGCAGATAGCAGTAATCGTAAATCTGTAATTTGGGTGATTGTAAGTGCGAATGTGAAATAAAATTCGCTATATCAAATACAGCGTGAAGTTATTTGTCGCGTTATACGCCCGATACGTGACAATATTATTTCGACGAGTTTCATGCATCAAAGTTTTAACTTCCTAAGACGTTCGGACAAGTCTATTTTAGAGAAATGGAAACATTCGGAAAAAGGATTTGGTGTTCCTAATCGTGCTGAGAAATCGCAGGTTGTTTGTTACTGTGCTGAGTGTACTCACCGCCTCATTGTGATTCCAGAATATGTAGGCTGGTGGCTCCGGACTGTATAGTACAACACACGTGAGGTTGATGGTACTGCCACGGTCGATGTACAAGTCTGGGCCACCGATGATGTCAGTAGTTGGCTCTGCAAACAGATATAAGCTTCCGTCATTCGCACTTCAAACCAAGCCGACTCCTCGGACACCCACATGGGATATAAGATCCAATTTCAGACGCTTTCGCAAGAATTGCGAAAAGCATCTATTCGCTTCATCGTGTCTCTCCTTCAGCCTTTCCGCATGAAACATCTCTTGACACCGCTGGGTGGATACTCGTCACGCCTTCGGTTGTTGGATTCTGCTTTAACCTATCAATATAATTTAATTTAGATTCAGATCCTGACAAAAATAACGGACGGTTTACGGGAGGACCCAGATGCGTTTTTGAGATTTTCTAGCTCCGACTGCTGTCCACTGATGAGAGCATAATAGGGTTACCATGAAAGCAAAGTCTTAACCATCCCATTCATTAATATCACAAGAGTTTATGATTTCAACAAAAAAATTACCACAAGATCTCACAATTTAGATTTATGACGACTGTCTGATACATTTTCTGATGATAAATATCTTTCATTTCAAGTTCTTCCATCTGAAATGAAGTGTATTCTATTTTAAGCATATTTTTGGACAATAACTAACATTATGTAAGATTTGAGGTTTTCACGGTGGTGACTATCTCTTCTGAGATGTGGCGCAATGTAGATCTTGTGTGAATCGACGTTCCACCGAAACGTCGGTTCACACAAGATCTACACAGCACTACATTCCAGAAGACTGCATTCTTCAATACCTAACACGTTGGATATATCCCCCACTTATTAGCTTAGCCTACGTATATTCAACTTCGAAAGCTAATATACGAAAATAATATGTAATTTATATGCATAATACAAAGAAAATTCATCAGGATAGTTAAGTGGACAAAACATCAAGATGAAATTTCTGGTAAAGCTTCATATGTTACCTGTACGTTATATGTAAAGGAGAAAAAGGCAAAGATATCCCTGGAATTAATTAAGCATCAGGCCATGAAGACGCATGAGTGAGAGAAAGAATAGTTCCTACATTCTTGACCTCGACACTAGATGGAGGTGAAAGGTCGATTTCAGTCCCCAGTCTCGTTACTCCGGGGGAAACAGTCTGTAGTGTAGCAGGTTCGGAAGTCCCCACATTCGATCTGGATTTTATGGAGTAAGAAAATAAGTAAAGGTATCCCTGTAACAAGCCGTGGAGGCCCATAGGGTTGTGAGATATTGAGGTTCCCATATTTTCCAGATAACCGGCTCATAGATGGCGGCAAGGTTGTCAGTCCTACGCGCCGACCGCCCTTTACCCCCAAGAATGTTCCTGTTACTCATTTCTATTAGAGGCTCAGTCGGCCCCAGGGCCATAGTGCGGCTGGAAGGATTAGGTCAATTGAAAAAATCCACCTCGTCGGGATTCGATCCCACGACCTTCCGGCTTGTAGCATAGTGCCTCAACCGACTACGCTACCGCGTGATCCCGGACGTTATGAAGTAAAGAATAATTTTTCCATTAGCCGATAATCGAACACCGACTCCTCGGTCATTCCTCCCTAGTTGCTATACCGACTGTGCTGCAAATGCTTTTCCCACCCCTGTAGTTTTATGATATCTGAGTCTGATGGCTTGAGTCATAACCTGTGGTAAATTCTATAAGCGTGTCAAGAAGTTGTTAGCCCGTCTTCAATTAAAAATGTAATGTCTACCTCTGTAATTTTCATAAATCAGATGGCTGCTGGAGTCATTTCAACGTCTGAAGTTAACTAATCACTTTCCTTTCCTTAACTTTGACGTAACTTGTTATTCTGTAGGGTTTCATGGTCTCGGGACATAAGAACAAAATGACCGGTACAGACTGACCCATTTTGTATGGTTGTTGCTAAGAACCTGCCGACCAGACTTGCGTCTGGTAGGTTCGTATCGAATATGTAAACATTTCAATAACTCCTGTTACGTGTATTACTAACTAAGAACACGAGTTTGGATTGGCGAATAAATTTATTGGATATTCATAAGCCATAACTACAATTAATTATAACACTATTATTGATTTACACAATTTACAATCACTCCACACTAATCTTCTCAGTCTATCTTCACTGGTCTTCACTATCCGTTTCCTGGCAACGGATTTATAATACATGAACTATAAAAGTCTCACTAAATTACACACTCCCAATATCGATATACTACAGCACATGTAACGTCACACCCTAAGTCTTCTAATTCTTCTTCTGGTCACACTGCTGTTCCCTTAGAATTTCGGAACTCAAATGAAATCAATTCCCATTCCCGTATTCCCTTATATCCTCTCGGCACGGACCACGCACAGAAAACACTATTCTATTATTGCGTAGAGCAGACCACACAGAAAATACCTTTCCACTACTGTTGCGTGACGTCACCGCGCATGCATTAATATCTGAGCCGTTGCCTGGCAATGCTTCACAATGCTTTATATTCTGTGAGTATTCGCTCTTTATGGTTAGAATACGCTTTCAGGTTGCCAACTGACAAATCATCACCGCTGAATCATTACGCTACAGCTCGGCCAGCACAATTCAGTGAACCTCCAAACTTTTTGGATCATGACAACTGAGCTGTCCCACCGCCGTTGCATTACGTGTAGATCTGTCTTTTAATAGACGGTTAACGTCCCACCTACGAGCGGCATTTCTTTGTCGCGCTTTGGTCATGGAACGAATATAATAAGTACATATATTTTTACGAAAAGCTTCCTTCGTGTGGTCAATAGTACGTTGAGATTCCCAGCATTTTCCTCCAACTGTAATTTAATTAGGTAAATCTTACACTGTTCTTGCATTTGGCAATACAGCTATGCAAAATATGAAGATTGCATGTAAAAGAGAAACTGTCAGCCTAACTTACATCTGCTGACTGTATGTCCGCGTAAGAGTTTATCTGGGTATTGTTCCAATATTATATAAAAGTCCTTAAGCTTTTACGGATCACAGAGTCCATGTTAACTGAGCAGACTGTAACTTGGCCCACAACTTCGCTTGTAACTTTCAAACGGCCGACTTATTAATCTCATTATATACGTAGAAATTTTGCTGACAAAGTTATGTATTGGAATTAAATATTTATTTTATATTGAGTATGCTGTAAGAATGATAAACCTGTTAAATTACATTCCTTTTAGACGGCTGCTTGAGGACTAAGGTTTCCATTTTGCTCTCTTGTTTTGACATAACACTACGCTATATTTTCTCGTGGTACCTATCCTTACTACCTTCTTCTATATTTGTTTCTTTCTTTTATATTTGCTTCTTTATATTTTTCTTCCTGTTTTCTATTTATTAGTTTGTTCTTCTCCCTTTCTTTATCGTCCCATCGTTTTTATTTCTCTGTTCATTTTCTACCCTCCTCTTTCTCATCTTTCCTTGTTTCTTCCCACATTTTCTACGTTCTCTTTCTTCCTGCTTCCCTCTTTCTTTCTTTCCTTCTTTCTTCCTAACTTCTTTCCTTATTTTTGTCATCCTTTCTTTCTCCCTTCTCTTCTTTCCTTCTGAATCGCCTTTGTCCATTCGTCTTTCTACCTGTATTTTCGTTTCATGACGATGTGAACAGCGTTGCTCTTGTTACTAAGGATTTCGTATTGATTACTGTATTTGAAAATTCCGGAAGATACTGTCAACATGTAAATCTGTTTGAGCGAAACTAAGCGTAGCTAATTAGTATGTTCCTTTGATACATAATATAAAAATAGTACTGTATTAAAATAAGTCTCTATTGAGATTATTAGTTAGGGATTTGAAAGTAAGCCAGCTGCAATCATTCAACAAGAAGCAAAAGAGGAGTGCAAAGTCAATCAGGCTGCGTCTTTATGACGTAAGCCCACCAGTTAATTGCCTCTTTTAATGAAAGAAAAATGAAGATTCTAGACACTTCATATAACTTTCTCTGAGCTTTCAATTTAATTCTTCTTAACTTAGCTAAGATTCAAAATACGTGTAAGTCGTGTAACATCGTTTTATGTCCGACTTCTGTCCCTTAGTGAATATATTAAAAGAGTCCTAATTAATTACGAGACTGATTAGAATCTGAGGATCATTTTTCCTTTTGAAGGAAGGACAAACTCAATGTTAATATTATATTTACTGTGGAAAGAAGTGAGACTTAAGAAAGAACAAAGTGAGCAGAAAATGAACGAGAAGGGAGTGGCTGCAAAGAGGCGTCTGAATATTATACTGCCGAGGGCACGTGCAGAATTATATTAATCCTGCAAAATCTTTCATAATTCTATTCATGTCCCGTGGACTTTCAACATAATTAGATGCACCGCGTACATTAATTAGGGTCGTCGTTATGGGCCGACAAACAATACAAGCTGAGAGGTGGTTCTTTCAGATGTAATATTCTGCATATAAATACTAAACTGGAATGACGCAAACTTTTACAGCCTGCTTCAAGAAAAATTCCAACATCGAATGGAAAGGCAGCGGAATAAGAAAATAAATTTTAGTTGTTATATATTACTCGGGATTCGAACTAGGTATATGACCATTGAATGCATTATCAATCGTAACTTATAGCAATCAATCATAACTCATACTCTTCGCCAAATAAGGGGGATGAGATGGGTAGGGCATGTAGCACACGATGCGAAGAGGAATGCACATAGGAGGTTGGTGGGAAAGCCAGAAGGAAAGACACCTCTAGGAAGACTAAGGCGTAAGTGAGGATAATATTATAACGGGTCTTAGAGAAACAGGATGGGGTAGAATGGATTTGATTCATTTCGCTCAGTACAGCGACAGTGGAGGGCTCTAGTGAGTGCTGTAGTGGACTTTCGGGTTCCATAAAATGTTGGGAAATCTTTCAATAGCTGAGGGATTGTTGGATTCTCAAGAATGACTCAGCTCCATGGAGTTAGGTATCTTCACCAAACTTCGTGTTCTCACTGCTTGCCGTCTGTGTGCAACTTCGTCAGTGTGTTAACATTCATACTTCAAAGCTTTCGTCTGCTCACTATACAACACTGTAAGTTTCGACCTGACTGGCTATCATCACGTGTAGATGTTGGTTTAAAGGACAAA